AAGGGAGCGCGATGGTCCAGGAGGCGGCCGGGAGCAGCACCCGGCCTTTCGGGGGGAAAAGAGGCCCGAGCGACCCGCCGCCCTGCCTGCCCCCCCCTCCGCCTTCCTGGAGACCCGGTCCTGCCGACCTGCCCCGCTGCGCGACACCGATGTCAGCCTTGCTGCTGGTCCATCTCGGGGAGCCCAAGTCCTACCACCTACCTGGATGGCAGCGTCACCCAATCACCGCCTACCTGGCGAGCCTTCGGACCAATGGAAGCCTTGCTGATGTTTCCTACTCAGCCAATCAAGAATCCGATTGGCAGATAGAGAGTCCCCGGGCAAGGAGGGGCTTCCAGCAGTAGCCGGTGGATTGACTGGAACCAGGGGGCGGGGTCACAGAGGAGGGCTGGAGCCAATTGGAGAGGGGGCTTAGAAAGGGGCGGGGCCCGAAGCAAGCGGGTCTGACAGCAAAGGAGGTTTCCTCTATATTAAGAACCATAAAGAGAGAGGCGGGAACTTCAGAAACCAAGCAGCCAATGGGCATCCTCGAGGAGGTCGTGGACCTGCTGCCTCCGACCTAGTGATGCAACGTGGTAGTACAGGCTACATATTTATATTGGTTACAACTACTGTAATACGTGGAATGCTATTGATGTTTGTGCGGCTAATTGCAGCTCACAAGGTGGCAGGTTGCATCTTGGTTGTGCAATCAGACACATGACCAAGAACTCAACTGTAATATACCCTGGCACCTCATCAGTTAGCTGCAGTTAGCTCTGGCAATTTGTGTCTTATGTGAACACCATGTGTAACTTATTCTAGCAAATATATTTTAAAGCCAAATATGTATTTAAAAATGAAATGATACTTTTGTTGTCATTGTTTAATCGTTAAGTCGTGTCCAACTGTCCATGACCCCATGGACCAGAGCACGCCAGGCCCTCCTGTCTTCCACTGCCTCCGGGAGTTGGGTTAAATTCATGTTGGCAGCTTCGATGACACTGTCCAACCATCTCGTCCTCTGTCATCCCCTTCTCCTCTTGCCTTCACACTTCAGGGTCTTTTCCAGGGAGTCTTCTCTTCTCATGAGATGGCCAAAATATTGGAGCCTCAGCTTCAGGATCTGTCTTTCCAGTGAGCACTCAGGGTTGATTTCCTTCAGAATGGATAGATTTGTTCTCCTTGCAGTCCAGGGGACTCTCAAGAACCTCTTCCAGCACCACAATTCAAAAGCATCAATTCTTTGGAGGTCAGCCTTCTTTATGGTCCAGCTCTCACTTCCATATATCGTTACTGGAAAAACCATAGTTTTGACTATGCAGGCCTTTGTTGGCAAGCTGATGGCTCTGCTTTTTAAGATGATGTCTAGGTTTGTCATCGCTTTCCTCCCAAGAAGCAGGGGTCTTTTAATTTCATGGCTGCTGTCACCATCTGCAGTGATCATGGAGCCCAAGAAGGTAAAATCTGTCACTGCCTCCATATGTTCCCCTTCTATTTGCCAGGAGGTGATGGGACCAGTGGCCATGATCTTAGTGTTTTTTTGATGTTGAGCTTCTGATCTCCTCTTTCACCCTTATTAAGAGGTTCTTTAATTCCTCCTCACTTTCTGTCATCAGAGTGGTATCATCTGCATATCGGAGGTTGTTGATACTTCTTCCGGCAATCTTAATTCCTGTTTGGGATTCCTCCAGTCCAGCCGTTCGCATGATGTATTCTGCTTATAAGTTAAATAAGCAGGGAGACAATATACAGCCTTGCT